TCCGTGTGCATTGGAGTCAGAGAAGACATGAACGGAAGAAAATAAGAGGAAAAATGCTGATCAATTGATAGGACTGATTCTGCATTAAATCCAATTGATTAAGTGGCTGGAACATTCAAAATGGAAGCTAAAATGAAGATTCCTGTTTTTGCTGGGACATTTGATCGAGAAGCTGCATGCATTGATGAACCAGATAGAGATTTTATTCGCCTTGCAGAGATATGCCACCCATGAAATGCTTGCATTCGATCGATTGAAGTTGTGTTGTCATGCCCTAATATGGTAGAATGACAATGAAGGGTTGGTTTGGAGGATGTTCATGTAATTGATATGTTGAGACTTGAGAGTTTTAACTGACGGGTTATAAAAATATTGGTGGAATAATAAACACAAATTGAAGCATCATTTAGGATAATGTGCAGGAATACACCAGAGTATCACCTTTAGGTAATTACATTAGGAATAAATTTTAGAGTGGTACAAATATCGATGAAGTACGCCTCATGATTTTATTTTCTAACATGAACTCTGCTTGTTTCTGATGACTAATCTCAGTTAAGCCAATTTGATGGCGATGGTCATAGAGCACAATGATTAAGGCAGGAAAGAGAAGACGCAAGAATCATCTGAAGAAAGTTTTCTTCAAAAAGAAGGAAAAGAAGAACAGTCATCTCTCTTCCTCTTATAAAAATAATACCTGTGGTAAGTTTTGTGATCACTGCCAGAAATCTAGTCACATAAATGAAAATGTTGGAAACTACTCCCTGACTTTCCCTTGATAAGTAGCTGTTGTTTTTATTCCAATTGCTGGCTATTTCCCTTTTTGCTGCTGCTGCTTCCTCGCAATTCCCTAGTTGCTGCCTACACTGTTGCTCTCTGTCTAGTGCAAGGAAAAAAAAAAAAAACTTTGAGTTAATTGCTGTCTACTGCAAGTAGGAAGACAAAACAGCAAAGGAAAGTCATCTACAATAGAAACTTTGCTTAAAGTATTTTTACTTTATTGATAGATCAATAAAAAACACATTTAAAAGTATGTAAAATTTTTTCCAAATCTATTGTAGCCTCTTATTATAGACTTGCATCAAAATGTTGAGATTCTGGCCACAGATCAATACGTCTTCTAATTTATAGTTTAAAATATGAAAGAATTCTTTTAACCTGAGGGAAAGTTTCAAAGCAACCTATCTCATTTAGACAAATCCATTATAGCCACGTATCTGACCTCTTACATCAACCCCATCATCTTGTTTAGTTTGTTAAAAAAGTCCATCCCCCTCCCAATTAATTTTTCTATATTTTTATGTCTTCATTTGCCCGATTTAGCTCCCCATTTGCCTCCATTAGTGCATAAGCCCAATTGCTGCCTTCACTTCCAAATTCCGCCCACATTTATCTCTCAATCCAATTCCTTGTAGCATTTCTGCAACTTTTTTCCCTGCTTCTTTGCAATCCTCACCTACTGCTGCTTCTTTCTCTTCCGGACTACTTTCCATCCTGAGACCTCCTCTCCGCTCCTTCCCCTTGCCATAACCTATGCTGATGATGGTTGCTATAACCTATGATGATGATGGTTTACCTCACCTGTATGCTCAACGTCCTTTCTCTAATTACTGAAATCTTTTCAATCCAAGTTAACATTCATCAAATGTTCAAGCGTTATTAATGTTTAGGTATGTGGTAACAAGTTAGTGATTTTGTTAAATTTAAAAGATTTGTCTGGAAATTAGGTGAATAAGGATTATTTGTGGCTATGAGATCGGTGGAAATTAGCAGAATGCACAAACACTATAGTGAAGTTTTCGGCTAGATAAGGAGCAACCCCGTTTGGGAATGTGCTACAAATGATTTGGTGCTGGAAAAGTTAGTAGCTCTAAAAGCATAGGGTAAAACGACAAGGTTACCTCTGTGATGCATGGTTTTAAAAATAATAAAATAGTGTTATAGGAATTGTTAGTCCACTGAATAGATTTGTAAAGAAATAACATTTTTTGAGATGCCATTATTATAAAACTTAACCGTCTACATCAATTGTTTTGTGTTTGTCTAATTTTATATTGAATGTCAAGTGTAGTTTTGTTTTAATTTTTTTGGGTATGTTTTACTTGATATGGATATAGACTATATTTGTTTTTCCTTTTTCATTATGGAGCTTTGAGTAGTCAAAGCTATGGTTGTAAATGAGCCGAGCTTGAGCAAGCTAGGCTTGACTCGTGTTGGGCTCATTTGAAATTGTCTCGTGTTCGAATTGCTCATGAATAATGTGTTCGAATTGGACTCAATTTGCATATCTTGTTCATGTTCTACTTTTATTTGGTTCGACATTGTTCTTTTAAATTAATTAAAAAAATAGTTGTAGGGTGTTGAATTTGAACCTGCATCATTCATATGCAATAAAATGCACATAACCACATGGCCACAAGCTGTGGTGATATATATAT